CTTTTTTTTTCATTATATACAAACTGCTGCAGGGACATCAAGAATAAAGATATGGGCACGGCACGTTCAGTACACAATGATTTTCCGTTGTTCACCTTGGGGTGGATTGGACTGTGTCCAGGCATCGCAGCTACAGTCAGTAATTAATTTCTTTTTTTCTTTCTTTTGCTCTATTATTGTGTCTGCCTCACGCAGTCACTCTTTTTTTACATTTTTATTTTGGTATAAAGATCGGTGATGTGTACTCTCTCTCTCTCTCTCTGTGTGTGTGTGTGCCCTCTACCTTGTGTGTTAAATGTGCGTCTCTTTTCTCCTTTTCCTCTTCTTCCTTGTTACCACAGACCCAAGCAACCCACAGTGACAATCATGACAACGATGTTCGTCCAACTGCGCCGCGTGGTGTACCTGTTGGTACTTCTGCACTGCTGTACTAGTGTGGCATATGCGCAAGGTGATGATGAACTTTTGACATCTGATGAAAAGGATATCTTACAGGAAATGAGTGGTTTGACAGCTAAGATGGAAAAGAAGAAAGAAGAAATTAATGTTATCCTTGTGTCATTAAACAGCGTAAAGAATGAATGCAGTGAAGCGTCAAAGCGTGCTCAGAATGCAGCAAAGACGGCCAAAGAACTTGAAGGCGTTGTTGTGGATACTGCAGGCCTTATTATGCAGTCAACTGAAAATTTGAATGAGAGTGAAGTAAAAAAGGTGTTAAGGAAGGCACTATATGCTGTAAGAGAGGCCACTGATGCCGCTAACAAGGCGAACCTGATAGCTAATAAAACAAACAATACGGCGCTTGAAATCCGACAGGGGGAAATAGATTTGCAAATGGCGAAATATGATGTTGAGGTGATTGTTGATAAACACATTTACGATGAAGATAAAACGAGTCGCTCAAAGGAAAAAGTAAAGGAATTGGCTGAAGAGTGCAATAAAAAAACGAAGGAAGTAAAGACTTTCCTTCAGGATTTAGAAAAGGTCTCTGAAAGTACTTTTAGTTTAGCGGAGGAGGCTAAGAAACAGGCGGAAGCTGCCTCCGATGCAGTAAAAAGTCTTCAACCATTGATTGATGATATTTCCCGACAGCGCCCTCAGATGAAAGCAGATCTGGATCGTGAAATTGAGGAGGAGAAACGAAGATTATCTGAAACCACGACAGCAAATGAAGGTAAGGAACCACCACACAATAATAATGAGTTAGACGATTCACATCCAAATAAACAGAATGAGATGGGAGGCCATACAAATGCCCAACAGCAGCAGAATCAACAGGACTCTGAGAATAAAAATGAAGAAAGCAATGTTGCAACACAAGAGAATAATAATAGTTCCCAGAGCAACACTCCAACGTCCAGTCATTCATCTGCTTCTGGAACTTCGCCATCACAAAATATGCTAACTAATACTTCTTCAGTTTCAATCCCTTTAAATGTTACTCAGTTAAGTGACAGCAGCAGCAGTCCTGCATTGGTGCACAGTCCCTTACTGCTGCTTCTTGTTTCGATGTGTGTGCTGGGCTGAACTCTCGTTTGTGTTGAAGAACAGACCTTTTTTAAAAAATATTATTATCCTGTTTGATGAATCTCTTATTTGCACTTTTATGCTGGACGATTTTATTGGACTCCCTATGACATTTATCAGACGACAAACCGTTATTATGTGATGGGAGTCTCCTCTTTCTTTGTTGGCATTGTCTGGGCTCTGCTTTGCCGCCATTTACTGTGCTCGCCTAATGAAGTGTGTATATGTGTCTTCCGTG